CAACTGCAACTGCTGCATATGCTGTCGTGGTTCGTCGCCTGAAGGAGGCGCACCGCAAAAAGCAACTGCATTGTTGCATCTGCAGTTGCAGATGCAACAGCATTGCAACAGCAACTGCAACTGCAACTGCAGCTTACGCTGTCGTGGATTCGTCCGGAGGAGGCGGAGCGAAAGAAAAGGGGCGTAGTGAAAGAAAATTGAGGGGGGTTTTCTCCGCTCAGAAGCAACATTGGGAGACCGGACCAACGCAGTTAGTCTTCTTCTGGGCCCAGTATATACATGGTATAGAAAGATCTAGGAAATTCGGTAACTTAGATTTTGGGTGTACGCTGCCTTTAAGGCCTTGGTTCTATGAAAAGATGTTTTCCCGGGTGACTTTTCCTGCAAACCCTGGTAGTATTGCTGAAACCGTATGAAGGTTCGCGACACACCTGCTGATTATTACTGTATGGATGGCATAAAGCAACGGATTCCTGCAGAGGAAGTCTCTGCAGTTCTTTATTACAAAACTCCAGAAGAAGAAAATATGTCAGTCTTACTCTGATTGATTCGCACACGTTGCTATGATGTTATCCCTTTCGCTGCTTTTCGCATCATCTCCAGGGGCAAACTTCTGAACTCGAAACATATTATTTGCGTCACATAAACCACTAAAATAGAAACATTACAAGCCTGTGAAAGCTTTTGGTATCATATAGTGTTATCAAACATACCGTAAATAGAAGACCTGGAGTACCATTTTAAAATCTTCCTACGACGAAGAATGATTTCATTTGAACGCAACAGCCTATCACAGGATTCCAACTTACACATCTTCAATATTTCCCTGTTCTTGGAATGGGTTAGCAGCACCTCAAAACAAAAACCGTTAAGCATTGCTTTCCGCATAAACGTAAACTCTCACCGAAATTCTTCCTTCGCACTTTTATTGGTGAATCCATACCTTCGATAGTCTAGAGACAGGGCGTCAAAAGTGAAGGTTGTTTGAACATATGACGTCATAAGTAGTGAAGGTTGTTTGAAGAAGTCCAGAGAAGAGAATATGACGTAAAACAGATAAAAGAAGAAAAGAAACTGCTAAAAATCGGATAAAAACGCTGCAAAGAGGTCTGAAATCCTTCTTTTGGCGGCTTTTCAAAGTGCAAGTTTTCGCTCCAGGACCAGCAATTCGCAACATGGGGCTTTGATTTTTGATGCGTCCTTTAGATTTTTATCCCCGCACTGACGTTCCTGTTTACTGGGACGTTGTCTGGATTGTTGCGCTTATTGTTCTGAGCAATAATCGCCCAAGCTGGAAAAAAATCGATGCGAAAGCACTGAAACAGAACAAGGTAAAGAAAAACGCACTTTTTACGATTTTTCGCAAAAAATTCCACCATAATCGAAGAGGTAAGGGCTGGGTGGTTGTCTGCATTATGAACAGAAGCAAGATCTATAGAATGCACGAAAAAACGCGTGAAAATAGTTAACCTATGAGAAAAACAAGACATTTTCGAAAACAAGGTTTTTGCCAGATTTCTCGATCAAATCAAAAAATGTGGCTCTGGGACGTTGTCAGCGTGAAAATAGAGATCAAGAGCTTTAAAATGATATATAGCTTGCTAAAATTGGGTTCGAAACAGCGAAGAAAAGGGTACCAGAGCCAAATGCCCCGCGCCCCGCGTTGGGGGTAGCGAGGTAGCGCGCAACGCGCGGAGACGCAGACGAGCAGCGGAGACAGACCAGAGCCGACGGGGCATTTGGCTCTGGTAGTAGATCTCCGCGGGGTCTCAACGAAACCCTGCAACATTATATATCATTCTGATCGTCATGACACGACGAGGAGAACTGACAACGTCCCAAGCTTTGAAAATCACTCATTAACGAGATAGACCACGTTTTCGTGCGTAACTCTCGGCGCAAGATTTAAGGGCAGTTTCTCGTTTTTATTTAACTCCAATAGCTTTCCTAAACTTCTGAAACTCGATTTTATTCAAATGAGAGAATAACTGAGAGATTGGCCCGTAGTAAAGCTAATTCAGTTCAGGTGAACTGAACTGAGGTTCTCATCCAAGATTCAGTAAGGTAGACTGCCTATCACCAGCTTTCCACGTTGTAAAAATGCAAAATGAGATTTCAGCTGACCGTCCGTCTACCTGACGAGGTAGTCTACCTTACATCAGTTAGTTCACATTCAGTTAGACTACCAATTGATGTAAATAGTTTGCCAATGATGATACGCAGAGAAACTTCTCGTAAGTTGCTCTTGAGTAACTTACGATACACGTCAGTTTAACATGTCGGTGGGGAGCCACAGTGATGCTGACGAGACTTGACAAGATCTAACAAGTGCGGCCACATCCCCGCCGCCAGTGCCAATGATGTAGATGTAAATGTTTGGCAAACTCGTCTTGACTCGTATACTTGCATGGACGTGGCACTCTCAATCTTATCATCGTGGATGGTTGGCAATATCAATCAATGGCTCGACTGAAGGCAAGCTGATTCGTCGAAGCCTCAACTGAAATTTTATTCAGCTGAGATCGAATGAAGCAGCTTTACTATGAGCCATTTTGTTTTGAATCTGGCGAAGATTCCACGGAAACCTTTTTGAAGTAAAAAAAAGGCTATGAAAACGCAAATTCTCGGTTTCGCTGAGATAACTAAAGATATTATTCCCTACATTTGCTTCATTAACATTCGTTCCGATATAGTCAGGATAATAACATCCGGGGCGAAGCCCCGGATGACTTCTTTTTTTCCAGTTGAAGGTTGTGTCTCCCCATAGCCCTCAAAGTGAAGGTTACCAGAGTACGTGGCTCTATGTATCGAGGGTATGGGTGAATCCCTAGTCCAAGATAGGTAGGTAACCAGGACAGAATGAAGCGCACGAAGGCACGTCTTCCATACAGCAGATCAGCGTTCATTATTCAATCCCGCTTCTATTCTCAACACAAGAAGAGGGGTGAATAAACGGATAAGCAAGATATGGAAAAAAATAAAAGAGCTGAGAATGCCCAAAAACGAAACTTATCAGAAAACAAGAAAAAAGTTCAATTTCCACTTTTCAGAATTGTTTGCATGCCCTATTCAAAATAGATGCCTCTGGGAACTACGCAGCGGCTTCCTGGAACAAATGAAGAGTTTTGAGCAAAAATCATGAAGAGAGAATGGACAAGCGCACGAGGGCCCACCCTCCCGGATACATGGAGCAGAACAGCGATCCTTAACCTGCTTCAAGTTCACAGTTTTTCTCATCACAAGGAGAAGCGGGGTAAAAGAAAGAACGGAGAAGCAACGATATGCGAAAGGGAAAGCGGCTGAGAATGCTCAAAAACGAAAATCATCAAAAAACAAGAAAAAAGTCCCAATTCATGCAATTTCAGAATTGCTCGCACTTCCTAATCTATGGCAGATGACTATGGAAACTGTGCAGCGGCTTCCTGGAACAATTGTAATAGGTCTGAGTAAAAATAAAGCGAAAAGAAATTGGACAAGCACAAGAACACACGTTTTGTTGCATACCCAGAGCAGAAAAGCGCTCATTCTTCAACCCCGCTTAGAGTTCGAAGTCCTGTTGATCAAAAAGGGAAGCGGGTGGAGAGATAAGGCCAAAATGAGAGAAATCTGAAAGAAAAACAGTTGAGAACAACCAAAATTGTCCAACTCCCGCCGTTCGAGACACATGCGGGGCGGCTGCAGCGCATGCAGCACAGTTCCGGAACAGTTCCAGCACAGTGCGAGAACAGTTCCAAAACATGGGAATCAGTATAAACCCAGCCTAAGTGAAGATGCCGTGATTCCACTCAGTCGATGAGAGGCCAATTTCACCTGAAAAAAATCCACAACTCGTTTCGGAATGGTGCACGGCAGCAAGGAATAGCATGTCTGGAATTAGCGTTCTAATCTTGGGTAACTATCACAACTAGAATATGAGAAGATCGGCATGCAATGAACTCCAACACTTGCCTTTTAGCGATTGAAGCGCAACGATTAAGTCGCGTGAACTCTGCCCAAGGATCAGAGGTGAGTTCCTTGATCAACATGTCAAAACTACCTTTACAGGTCTAAAACCACTACCTACTACAATTTCTAGTGTTTCCCAACGTCTAAGCGTGCTTTTTAAAGATGACTAACTTGGTTTCAAAAGCGAAAAATGTCAGCTTTTTGTAACTTAACAAAATCATACTCTCTATCAGTCTACAGTAAGAATTAGACTTCATGTCGTTCTCAGTGGATCAAGTAGTGCCATCAAACTTCCAGCCACAGCGCTTTTTACATTGAATGCTTCAACAGGGATCACCACAAAGCTGAAACAAGTCGAGGAAGCTCGAACAACTATTGTGGAATTTTCGAGATTTGTCATAGCGAATCACTAAACCTTGGACGATGAACTCCTTCGGAGATAAAGTTAATGCGGTCCTCATTCCCTCACAAGTTCAGGCTGTCTGAGCTTTTGTAGCCTTGTGCCTTAACCCTTTAAGCTGTTTTCAAAATTCTGAAATTGCTCCACTGGTATGATCATTGAGCTCATAGCTTCTTCTTGCTACATCTAAAACTTGTAGCCAAACACGCCACCCCTATGGAAATTATGGTTTTTTCAACAAGCCCATTCAGATCAATTTCCGTTGCCAATTTACGTGTGATTGTAAGTGCAGTCACTTTACCCGCAGATAAATCGGTTTAAGAAGTTTTGGCGTTTCTTTGCATCCAATAAGCTCTAAGACTCCCCTTACTAGACGAAAGACCTCTTTTGGTGGTAATAAGAAGAATCAGAAGGAAGAGAGAGCGCAAAGACAGAGCGTAATTTCAGATGTTTGCGTTGCTTATTCGCACGCTTTCTGGCTCTGTCTTCTGCTGTCTCTGCAAAACAAGAACTCCCCGTCAGAGCAACGACGTTCGCTCTCTGCGTGTGATGGTTTGCCTGTATATATGACCTGCGATATTTAGAGTGAAATCTCTTTGGGTTTTTTTCGGTGTGAGTCATGTCGCAAAAATTTCATTCTTTATGTAAAACATACCCAATGGTTGATAAAGGTTAAAAAATCGCTTTCGCTTTTCTAAGCAGAACCATATTTTCATACAGCCAACACAGTTCGTACATTTATAAAGGTAGTTTTGCGAAATCAAAAACAATCTGAGTGATACTGAAGCACACAGCACTTAGTGCTTCTTATCCTTCTCTTTCTCTAAAATTTCTGACAGTTTTTTCTTAGCAATGTTCTCTTTTTGGTTGGGAGTGGGAGCTGTAGGAGTTACAGATTCTTCTTTACACTGGATTGCTGGGGTTTTAGCCTGCAATTTTCTTGTTAGTTGTTCACTTTAGTTGCGACTCACTTCACCTGCTCTTGATTCTCTGCAGCTTCCAGAATTATTGCGTCTTTTATATAGCGATTGTCAACTTCCAGAGCTTCCCTCAAAGAAAGATAAGCTTCGCAGTTTAAGTAGTTTAGTTCAGAATTCAGCTCTTGCAAGAGGAAGGCGTCTCTAGAGAATAACGAAAGCAATTTAGACCGAAAACAGAACAGTCTTTATAAATAACTCAAGGATCAAGAAAAGGCAAATGCAAACTACTGTTCCATCGAGAATCCAAAAAACACTGTCAAGCATCTCGATTTTGTAGTTCTCATCAGTAATCTTGATAATGGACTGTATTTTCAGAAATGCTTCTGCAAATTCAATAGACTAATTTTTTCAAGAATAAATTGAGCAACAACCATACCTTTGTGATGTTCTGAAAGCGCTACATATGCGAACAGAAAAAGAACAGCCACAGCTATTGGCACGATGAGCAGAACCACCACTTTTGCAACAGGGCGACAGGTTGAATATGAATGCGTATAAACCTTAAAAACGAAAAAGAGTGACTGACATGTTTTGCTCCAGACGGTGATGCAATTATTTCAAAACAAACGTCTTCGTCAGACATAGCGGCCAACTGCAATGATGAAATGATTAGAAACCGACTGAATCAACGTCGAACGGCGATATAATGAGCACCACAAACTCATTGTGATGGGCTACGGTTTTTTTACGTGTTTTTGTTTGTAATGTAAATCTTTTCGAAAATCGCAGGTCGAATCTAGCCAAGCTCTTCAGCCCAATTTTTGCGCAGCACGTGCTGCCAGCATGCAGATCCTCCGTGCAAAAGCTGGAAAGGTTTCTAGACGAATCCCTCAAAAATTGCCCCCAAGGGGATCCACATAGGTTTTGGTCATCAAAAATAGGTCTGAACCACGACTTTTTGCAAAGTTATGGATTTTTATTCGGTGAAAATCTGCAGACCATGGATGTGACACAAAAAGTTTCTAATAATTTTGAAACAGCGCAAAAGAAACGATTAAGTGCTTCGATTCTAGCTTTCAATGAATAAACTAAGCTAATTTTTGCTCAGGAATGCTCGCATAAGTCATTGTCTTTATGGCAACTATTGTGTACTGTCCCGAAAACATACTTACTCTTCTTCTGGCAAAATTCCATCGACCAAAATCACTTAAAGGCACCGTCCACCCAGATTTTCGACTTTCATGTTTTTGTCGTCTCAGGGCCTTCTCATGTCCCTGATTCCGAATATGACGTCGAGAATGCTCGAAAACCCCGACAGTCCCCATTTCAGAGAACTCATAGGCAGTCTTTCCGGAACGGTGATTGGCTGGGCGCGCACAAATGGGCGGGCATGGATGGGGAGGGCGGGCATGGATAGGGGTCCTCGTGCATCTTCGCTATTCCGAAGCGATTTTCTCGCTTCCGAAGCGGCATTTTGCGCCGCGACTTAGCCACTGAATTGATAGGGAGCCCTACTATTATATGCTGCCAAAGCTCAACACGCTCACCTTAGGGTGGACGGTGCCTTTAATTCTTGTGATGGAGCATGTGAAATGGGTGCTTGCTTTAATTCGTATATTCGGCATAACTCGGTGAGTTTCGTTTCCACTTTAGAGGACGAATATCTATGTATCAGACCAGGGCACAACACGATTTCAGCCGCGCGTTTTGCATTTGAATTCTAGCACATTGACGACCATGCAGATTTTTAGTTGTCTGCCTCTTTGGACCGAGACCTTTCAGGGACCAGACAAGACTTTCTAGATCAAATCACGCGCACTATCATTTACATTATACCTACTATAAGTCCTGAAAGGCTGGCGAAAAAAGATGAAGGTTATTTTCTTCTAAAGCAAAAGAAATCCGGAGTGAATTATAATAAGATAATCGTTATTTCAACAAAATTCAAGCCTTCGTGTGTCAAGCTGTCATTGCTAAAAATCAACATTCGCAGACCACTGATGCTTAGCGCGGTTAAATGCTGTAATCAACTATTCAAGTATTAATCTGGAGCGACTGGAACGGCGTATCTATGCCGCGTTTTGAAGCAAACTTCCGTATCGCAGACCAGATAGCCGGACCAAGGCGAGTCTCTGCAAAGCAGAGGCGACGCGCTGATCACATTATAAATAAGATGAGGTTATTAGAATTGCTTGTTTTAAGGAAGCAAAGAATCAGTTTTTGAGCAATTTGCTTTTACACAGCGGACACATCTGCCGACTGTTTCGGTTTTAGCGATAGCTATCTTCATAACTACGTAATGAAGTGCGAGCTCAAACTAGCAAAAGAATTTATCAAAAGTGCTCCTACATAAACCAATTCCAAGAATTTTACGCCTCACAGTAAGCTTTTGCTACCCTATCCGTCTTAGCTGAGATGCCCTAGTGTGGCTATTTCGTGTATGTGTCAGTTTCCGTGTGTCAAGACTAAAATCGAAAAGAAAATAATGGGTTGTCAAGCTCTAGGTCGTAAGTCCCATTCAAAACAAACGTGATCTGATAAACGGTTTGAAATCCAGGCTCATGACCTTAATTTTGCATTGAAACACATTGTTTTCTTTCGAAGCTGCAAAGCACAGTCTTGGACATACAAGCTGTTAGCTCATCCAGGGAAACTGAGAAGGTTGAATATCAAAGTTGTCATTTTGCCGAGCTGCTGCTTCAAAGGCCACAATCGTTCGCACTTTGTCACACCTACTCGTCGTTCAATCTAAGACCGTGGAAGTAAATTTGGTACTTTTTCTTGGTACTTGGTAACTTGGTACTTTTACTCAACCTCCTGCCAGTGTCAGCAAAAATTGACATGTCATCTACATGTTTAGCAGGCTTTAATACGAGTTTGTTTAGCCTACCTATCAATGTGAGTTTTTGTTTTCTGTTTTTCTGTTTGTTTTTCACTCAGTAATGACCCCATTTTTGGTCAACAGTTTCTTGAATAAGTTTCGATATTACATAAAAACATTCTGTGTCTAACAAACAAGTCTAACATTAAGTTTCCCAAAACAGTGAATTGGGCTTGTTCTGTCATTTGAATTACGATGCATTCGGCAACCAAGTACTTTAAACCATTATTTATATTCTTTCTCGGCTAAATTCGCAGGCGGAAACAATGTAAAGAGCAGGATTTCTTTGAATCATTGTTGAAAAATATCAAGTTAGAAATTTAAAACTGTTTTGCTTATATAAAAGGCCCCTGAACAGCTTTCGAGCCATTTCAGATGCTCTCGTACCTCACCAGAAGATTTTGAAAAAACATGTCAAACTGGCCCCAAACGTGTTAACTTTGATCTTGACACGTGGCAGGGAGAAAGTCCTTACAGAATCTAAAAAAATTTCGAAGTTAAAGCACGTGTTTTATGACAGCTTTCTGAATGGGTGCGAATAACGGAAAAGTACCGTAAACTTTATAGGTCTTGTATTGTCGCTCTCGCCGTTTACATTAAAAGCAATCCTGCCAATTCCAGACTTACCCACATTTTAATAAACAATGGCAGCCGTCAAGGTCCACTTTAACCACATAATAGGACTTTTCCAAAGTTCACATTCTCCATATTCCTCATCATTGTTGAATGCTCTTGCCACAATTCAGAGCCAGAGCCTTAATGAGTCAAGCTAAGAGAGAAGGGATTGTTGGAACAGATTTTGCTCTATTCAACCAAAGCCTGCACCGTTTTTGAGACCGGGTCACCATGACAGCCATATAATCGGTGAAAAAATTACTGCTTCGTAGAAAAAAATTTATATGAATTTGTAAGGTGCGCGGATATGGGCGCCTGAGATTAGGTCCTGACTCATATTCAAAACGAAAAATTGAGCACTCAAAAATCAGTGTAACCACAATAATTTACAAATAAATCAGCATCTAACAAACTGATAGATATTGTTTCGGATGTTTTCAATGAAATGAATTTTCATTTCGGCATTGAAAAACAGCAATGTGTACCAAAACAACTGGAGAACCTAACGTTTTTACTTGCCACACCGTCAGATTTTAGTAACCTGATTGATATTCATAATAGTACTGTTTACCCGGAAGCCGATAAAAGGCTATTCAGTGGGGAGCACTTCATATAACAAACGATTAAAGTGCATTAATGTAAACATAAGAACACATTAAGTACAAGGTCAGTGTTGCCCTTGATAACGGGGTAAGCGGTTGTGGGTTTCAAAGAACGATTATCCGCTAAAAGAGTTACCTAGGAAAATCCCCGTTTTGGTGATTAACTCATCTCACCAAAGATGACGCGCACATAGAGACTCCCTTCTAGCATTTGAATGCAGCTATCGCGTAGGATAGGACGCATTCAATCTGCGACATTGTCGAAAAACCGAACCTAACAACTTTCAATAATTTACGCTTCTAGCTCTTCAACCATCCTATTTTCCCCTCGTCCTTTTCATCCTATCTCTTCCTCCTAGCCTATCATACTTGAGCATCCTATTAGGATGTGAAGAAAATTCCCGGGCATTTGCGAAATTTTTTCAAGCGACTGTAGCTTCAGCAGATTATTTTCTTTGAGAGCTGCAAATTTTTTGCAAAGAGCATGCTGACAAGACATACTAGGTTCTCAGCACTCCAATTCGGGATACCAACCTGCGCAGAAAGGAAAAAAGGTAATGAAAATCGTGCACAATTTTCTCAGGCGTAGAGAGTCCGAAAAGCTCATATCTAATAGCTATATAGAAATCTATCGGAGCTGTCATTGAGGCAGATCACGCTGTAGGGCGCCACCCGCAAGACAAATTTTCCAAAAAATTTCAAAATATTAGCTATTTTTTGTACCCTAAAAACGTCCCATGTTTTGAGTAAATAACTTTAGAGTCTTCCCTTTTGCACGGAATGAGTCGGTTGTTACTTCAAAAAAATGTTTACTCAAGCAATATTTGCAGATCTTTGTCTACTATAAATATGCCTTGGGTAATGTCTTGCGCACCTTCTGAGCTACAACCCAAACGCAGCGATCCACACAAATCGACGCCACCTGCGAAATAGTTGTCGCCGAAGGCAAGCTTGACCCTTGTAATTTTTGTGCGTCTGTACAATCTGAGCACAGCTTCAAATTTGTAGTTGACAAGCTCTCCATTTAGATCAAGTGTAATCAGACGATGCTTGTTTAGCGCGGAAAATGGCGACAGAAAGAAAAGTCGTGAAATCTTACCATTGTAAAGATCTTGGTACGTAGATCAGATTAGGCAAGGGTCCGGCATAGATCGTCTGGAAGCAGGCTGGACTTCGTTTTTGGAACAAAAAGCAAAGGAGATATCGCTTTTGACGAGTCGGGGCCGAGCACCAAGAATAAGCGCCATTTAGTCGACACAAGCTTTTCGAACAGGTTATCATACCATTGACATGCTCTAACGTGTATGGCACGGGACAGACTTCACGCGACTCAATCGTCGCAACTTAATCGCCAAGATTTCCATTCATTTTAATTTCACATTCAAAAATTTCGGGCTGGAAAAGTATCACAACCGAATGCAAGTTGATCGACATGGAATGATGTTGTAACAGTTGTCTCGCCGCGATTCATTCGCGACAATCAAATCGCGTGAAGTCTGCCCGGGGCCTATGGCGAAAAGTGCGCGCGATTTGAAAGCAAGACCAAAACAAACAGATTGCAGCCCACACGGAGGCATATTACACCAAAATTGA